GGGGCGAGGTGTTAGGTACTCCCGACGGTGGCTGAGTTTTCGACACTAGCTAGAGAGCTGGGTCGAATTCAGCTGCTGAATGGAGAAGAATTCTGGCGGCCGACTGCTCTGATCAGTAGTTTTCAATGGTTGCTCCGATCAACACCAAGCGAATGCCGGAGCAGTATCCTGACAAACGGGCCACGGACCGCACGGGATCTTTCCTTCCTCTTCCTTGACCTTCCGTCACTCCTTACACTTACATGCACTACACTACCACACTTGTTGGCAGACCAAGTTTAAAGCTTGATGCGGTGCACGGCTGGATGGCGATACCTACATAGAGAAAACCGCGCTAACCGACGGTAGGTAGGCGCTGGAACTCACCATCCAGAGGGGCCAGATCACTGCCACACCCCGAAGGAAGACATGCACTACACTTACGGAACTAATGACCTGAGCAGTTGACGCGCCCGGAATCACTAACAGTCAGCAACGTTGTCTTCCGCTAAATATTAGCCCTAGTAACCACTATTACTTCCACTAGTTATTTAAAAGTAGATTGAAGGACAATACATAACGATAAGAGGGTTTCCCCTTAAATAGAGGACGCTATTCAGCCCTAACGCCATAATATGCCATATATAATATTAACGCCATAATATGCCATATATAATATTAACGCCATAATATAACTCCAAATTGATTTTCTCAAATCGTACCTCTTACTTAGAAACTGGGATATATGGTATATGGAAATTATACTCGGGGTCTTGAACAATTCTCAACTCAGTTTCCTCTGAGTTAACGTTCACTAGCGAGGGCGAATCAGATCCAGAGGAGGAAATTTGGCTTTCCGTTCCGAACCCGGGGCTTAAAGTCACTGCTATCTGTAATCTAGTCATTTATTATGAAATGAACACTTACTGAAAATTTTCTTCGCTTTTCATTAAATTATCAATCTTGAATTTGTTTACGACTATATGTATCCTCTCCTTTCCTTTTATTCGCTATACCACTAGTCCTCTGAAATTCACACACTACTGTACTGTTGGAAATGTGCAAGATCTTCTCTTGAGATGAATGCAAAGTTTATTTTCAGTAAGCTAATAATTTCATTTGGAACCAGTTTTTTTGCACTTGAAAAAAAAACAGTGGAATTTAAAAAAATTACACTTTAATTTTTCAAAATCCATTTTGGTGAATTATTAATCTTTAATATTATCCCTTTTGAATGATGTATTCATTTTATCTGAACGTTGTTTCTAGGTATTTTTTAAATTTATTATTTTCTACGCGTGCATTTATTGTTTGCTTTGCTTGGTTGCTGATGTGAATTTATCTCCAACATGTTTTGCTTTACAATGAGAGAAATAAGGAAACCAGAGAAGTGTGCGAAGCAAAGCTACACACACTGTGACGTCAGTGAGAATGAAACTACGAGTAAATGTTGGGTAACTGAAAATCCATCACATGGATTTAGAATGTACTGCAAATACATGGCAAATTTTGAAGCCTAATTCCCGTATTTTTTTCTTTTTGGTAATGAAAGAACATTTTTTCCAAAATTATTAGAGCTGCGGACTCCAAGCATTTAGACACCTTTCACTAAGTCACACTACAACTTCAATCAGAGTGTTTTATTATATATTACTATTTAAACAAATTATGTACATGATAAAAAATATGGGTGTAAATATTCTACACTTTCAAAATTTTATATCTACAATAATAATTAAAATTTCTAAAAAATATTATGATACAACATTTAAACTACAACTAGGAAATATTCAGAAAAGTAATCTTTTAGTGTATATAGATTGGAAAATAATGTTCTTTGAATAAGATAAAGGTAACAAATAATTACTTATTTTCAAGGCACAAAATACTTCAATGTAAATTAAAACTTTTAGATTAAAATATTGTTGCTTTTTCACATTTTTTATCATTGTAATTGAAGTTGACATGGAAATGAGATTTTAGAAATCATCTCCTGAACTCAGTTTTCTTTCGTTTGGAGTCTTTATTACCCGTTTAGTCACCCCTTCCGATTGAATGGCTATAAAGTGGTTTGTAGTCAGCGTTTGATGAACGAATATATCACTTACTTTTATGACGTAGGATTCATTAAAGGAAGTAAGAAAATTCGATGGCAACAAAAAAGTAAAGAATAAAAATGTATTTCAATGGTAAAAAATACTTCAATATAAATTAATACTTTGAGGTAATTTTTTCTTTTTTTTTTCATTTATAATTGGAAATAAACCAGAAACTTAAATGTAATTTTAGATATTATCTCCTGAACTCAGGATTGTTTCATTTCGAGTCTTTATTACTCCTTTAGCCCCCCTTTCAGACTTAATTACTATGGTATGTAGTCAGCGTTTGATGTATAATCGTTTATCATATACTCGTACTTTTATGACGTAGGATGTATTAAAGGAAATAATAAAATTAGATGGAAATAAAAAGGTAAAGATTTTATTTCAATACCACAAAATACTTCAATGTAAATGAATACTTTTAAGTATTTTTTTTCTTTTCTTTACATTTATAATCGGAAATGAATCGGAAACTTAAATGTAATTGTAGAAATCATCTCCTTAACTCAGGATTGTTTCGTTTCGAGTCTCTATTCGTCCTTCAGCCAGCCCTTGCGGCTGAACTCCCGGAGTGTGGTTTGCAGCCAGCGTTTGATGCGAGGAGTCTGATACATGAAAGCGATGCCCGAATGGTCCCCTGTGTTGCTGGCTTCGAGGTCGGGAGTGCTGTGTGTCAGGGCTATGGGCTTGATGCACAGAGCGCCAAACACAGCCATGATTCCGTGCTCATCCATGGCAGCTAGGAACGCCTCCCACGGCGGGGCCTGTAAGCACACGAGTCAAGCGCGCGGTGATGTAACGGTTAGCGAATCGGACTGGTATACCCAAGATGGCGGGTTCAAATACGATCGAAGACGTGGATTTTTAAGGTCGAAAAAATTCTTCGTACGCCTTCCTTCTGAGGGGAAGTGAAGCCGGCTGTCCTATGTTGGTAGATTTCCTTGCATGTAAAAGATCCTCAAGCCTAAATGACGCCTCTGAGCTCAATTGAAATCGCCTGTTCCTTGCCCAATAAATACCTCCTTTTTCTGCTAGTTGGTGAAAGGAGCGTAGCGAAATTTGCGTAGTCAGGCGGAAGAGCAGGCCTAATGGCCTGAGTCTCGCCACGTAAAATAAGGCATTAATTCCAATTCAATTCAGAAGTCATCAGGTTCATGGTAATGAAGAATTTCTGGTAAGCATCAGAACCTGTATAAATTAAGCTCCTCCAGGCAGCTAATGAATTCGAGCTATATAGCCAGGCCTAGTCCAAAATCCTGCCACCTTAGGGTCTGGAACGTGAGGGTCTTCTGCTCAGAGGCAGTGCAGTGACAACTGATGCCCTGAGCCACGTCTAACGGTAACTGGAGATTACATTGAATTACATTTTGTAAAAACAAATACACTTTCGATTTTACATTATGAATCACAACTAGATTTTTGATTCGTGGCCACTCAAATGTAGTGCCAAATTCCAGCGGTTTTTACTTTTTCGTGTACGTACGTGTGTACAAAGTAATATACGTAGCATATTACTTTCTCATATACGTACGTATGTACAGAATAATATATGTTTCTGTTTCTTTTTTCAAAACATCCGCCCGTCTGTCTGTCTGTCTGTCTGTCTGTCTGTCTGTGAACACTACTAGCGCCTAAACCATAAGAAGAATATTTTCCAAAATGGATATTCCTCAGACGATCTGTCTCGAATCAAAGCTTTGCGATTCTGAAAAACGTTCTTTAAAATTTGGGGGTACTTTACATAGAGCCCCTGGGACATTTTGAAAATTTTCTCAAAAAAAACTCCAAATTATTCTTTAATTTAATTGAAACAATAAAGTAAAATACACTTATATATGTGGCATAGGTGTGGATTTCACTGTTGACTTAGATTTTTTAAAATTGCAAAAGTTTGAATTATTTTTGGTGTCTTCCAACGACCACAAAATTGAATATAGAGATTTTTCCTTCAAGTAAAATCTTTTGTCCATAATTAGTTTTTTTAATAAGGTCGTGTACATTTTTCGAACATTTAGTAATTTTTGCGCAATATTGCGTGATATATGTGCAATTTTAAAAATACCAAAAAACATTTTTTTTTCAAACAGAGCTCAATTTTTTTTCTTTAAACGTTTGGTAGAGATAGTGCTAAATGTATTCTATGATATGAGATATGACTTAAGAGATGGAATAAACGCCAAATTGCTCTATTCTTTGTTTTTCCAAAATCACAAAAATTTAATTTTTTGACGTTTTCTCTCAGATAAGAGACGGTAAATTTATATCAGTTAATTGAGAAAATCGGTATCTGGGACCCTAAAACATGTATTTCCGTTCAAACCTCGAAATAAAGTTTTCGCATCATTTCATAACTTTCTCTATACTATTTACAATACTCTGTATGTACATACATATGAGAGAAACTAAACTTGCATTTGGGCGGCAATAGATAGCAACTGGCAAAACGATGGCGCAATACCAAAAAACTAACTCAAACCCAAAAAATTATAAAACTAACAAGTTCAAAAAAAGTCTCTGCTATTCTGCAGCACCACTAGTTCGTATTGCTATCGCGTGTAAAGTAGGTCATTTTTACTTTTTTTAAATATCCAATAAAAGGTACGGTTCCCAAAACAAATGTGTTGTTTCTGTAAAAAAAGGCTCTTCAGACAGGTAAATATAACGCAGTAAACTGTCGTATCCGGTGGTAACGCTTCTGCATACCTTGCCCTCTAAAATATAATTGAATTGATGCCTTATTTTCCGTGGCGCGACTCAGGCCATCAGGCCCGCTCTCCCGTCTGACCACGCAAATTTCGCTACGCTCCTTTCACCAACTAGCAGAGAAAGGAGGTATTTCTAGGGCGAGAAATAGGCTTTTTGAATTTAGCTCAGAGGCTTGAGGATCTTTTACATGCAAGTAAATCTACTAACATGGGCTTTACTTCCCCTCCGAAGGAAGGCGTACGAAGGATTTTTTCGCCCACGGCTTCGATCGGGTTTGAACCCGCCAACTTGGGTATAACATTCCCAGCTCCCCGCCGCCGCAAAATATATAGCTATTCTCCGTGATATCAAGCACTATGTAAAATTTCAAACATTTTTCAAATATAATTTTTAAACAGTTTTAGAAAAATATTGTTCATATTTCGCCAGCAAAGTAGATGGTCTCGTTTGACTGCTTGCCTCGGCCCACTCTTGTCATGATGTCGTTTGATTTGTTTCTCTTGGCACAAAAATCAATTTCGTCCATGAAAATAAAAACCACTTCGAGTATTTAACATTAAATTAATTATTTTTGTGCCGATTCCCCTTACAATCTAAATTGTCACCTTTTTTTATTAGAACAGTGCTTCGGAAAAGAGACGATATGTGTGACAAGTAGTGATGATTAAACCAAAGGATCTCTCTAACCAGTCGCTCACCTTGATTCCAAGGAGTTGCAATGTTTCTTCCAAAGAGAAGAGGTACTCGCGAAGGAGAAGGTCTCGGTGATGGAAGTAAACGTCCTCGCTGACGCTTGTTGAGAGGAAGTACTGAATATCCACAGCCGGTGACGCCACGTGTGAGATCTGAAAGAGATCACCAGATTACTACAAATGCATGTTAGACTAATGAGCAAATCAGGATTTTTATTTTATTTATTTATTTTTTATTTATTTTTATTTATTTATTATTTATTTTTTATTTATTAATTTATTTATTTTTATTTGCGTCAAAAACAGTTAAAAACTCTGTGTGACGTGATATGGGGAGAAGTTAATTTGAAGTTACATATATGTCTAGAAGCAAAACAAGGGGCCATCTCACCATTTGCTCGAGGATCAGGGAAATTGGACGAAAACCTGATCGAGATAGGGGTCATTGACCCAGAAGCTGAAGTACAATACTTAATTCACGGAATAATTCACGAATAAGTCGGTTTGTGTTCTCGTTATCCAAAATCTTTAGCTATATATAAATAAAACGAAATGAACACGTCTGTCGTATATAGACGCAAAAAACTACTCGACCAATTTTTCCAATTTGGTTCTTATTAGTATCGGGAGTGTTAAAAGAGTGATTTGAATTAAACAGGACATGTGGGGGAGTTGTTTATGCACTGTTATAAGACGCTCTACGCCGTTCCCAGAGGACCTTGATTGAAGTGCAATCTATGGATACCTTTTTGAACTAAAAGCCTCGTTTCGACTCATAATATCGAATAACATAGAGCTTGCGACCTAGAAAGCAGGAAGTCTAAAGCAAATACTAGCGGTGCAAAATATTATTCGAATATTTGCTTTTCAAAGTGTGGTGTTATATATTAAAAGATAGATAATACGTAGTTGAATAGTAGTAGTTAACGTGTAGTTCATACCTAGTTCATTTTCATTGAATAAGCTGATTTCGAACTTGAATTGTATTTATTTAATACGCTGCAATTGCGAAGCATGGCCAGGTCCGATAGTGGATAGAAAAGTCCTATGTAGGGGCAGCTTTATCCGTTCCAAGAGCACAGGAGGAACCACACACACAGCCGACAATCAAGATTTTTTATCACAGGAGTTGTAGATTTTTTTCCTCGCGTGTCACCTACAGCTCATTTTAGCTCTGTGCAAGTGTACGATATATGGCCGTCTTAACGACAATACCGAGTATGAGACGTAGTGTGTGCCGGTCCATTCAATGATTGATTGATAGATTGTTAGTGATTCCGGGAGCGTCATTTACCAGGGTCATTAGTCCCCTAAGTATAGTGCATGTTTTTGCTTGGTAGGTGGCTTTGATCTTCTCCCGCTAGATAGCGAGATCCTACGCCGATCTACCCTCAGCTAGAAGGGTTTCTCCCCAATAAGGTATCTCCTACCAGAGGGGCAATGCCGTAGCCACGCAAAAAAGGAAAAGACTTAAATTGAATTAATTTTTTTTTCAAAAAACAGTAAAACTGCATGGGGAAGAGGTCTCTGCGTATTTTCCTAAGCTTCAGAATCCATTCCCGTTTTGTTTACTAAGCATAACCGATGAATAGAGGTACCAACCAATAAAGTTGGCCACATCTCAAAACCATTAATGTTCGCTCCCGTGTAATACAAAACGTATTTGCCTCTTTAAATTTGGTACAGATTTGATTCAGTAGTGTTGCTAGCCAAGTAATTGCTCATTTTAGTTCTTCCTTAACTAGCAAAATTAGATCTTAAAAAATATGCGCACATTAAAGACCAGAATCATAACAAAAAGCCATCACATTCGCTCAATGGATGCAGGGAAACGGCAAGGTATATATGACAGTGATGAAAACCATTACCCAGAATGTAAAGTACCTTATTTGTTAAAAGCATATGAGAATTTTATAAGTATATAGTACAAGTAGAAACTAATGTATCTATATCATTTTAAATTCTCTAATTATGTAGAAACAGCTATGCACCATGAAATATTTCCCTTTGCATTTAAACTTGTGTATTAATTTTAATTCTATAATGTCATAGGAAATATGTTCACTTCTCAATTCAATTTTGTGCTTTCGCTCTTTCTTACCTGTAGGTCGACCATTCGAAGTTCAACTGGGTCGCCATTTTCGTATCGGAACATCATATTGTTCACCCAGAAATCCCCGTGAGTGATAACATCGAACGAGTCCGGCTTGGGATCATTAATTTCGATACACAACTCCATTATCTTAGGCTGCAAAAAACAATGAATAACAACAACAACAACAACAACAATAATAATAATAATAATAATAATAATAATAATAATAATAATAATAATAATAATAATAATAATAATAATAATGGCTTCGTGACGTAGACGGTTGCAGCAGCTCTCGTCGGTATCCAGGAGGCTGCAGGTTCGAGTATTGCTTTATGTAATTTGTATGTTGGCAACGTTCACTATTCTTTATCAAATATTTGTACTCAATCTTTATCAAATAAACATTTAATTATTAGTTTTAGTACCCGAGGTAAACTCCAACAACAAAGACCACGGACACTCACAAGTTATGTGCAATAACATTTGTAAAGAAGAAGGATGTTATTGTATTGTTTTGGGAAAAATGTGCAATTACATATTGTTGATAAATGTTCAACAAAAGTACGATTACTTTCATGCATTGAATTTATCATATCATTTTTATACGAAATAACTAGGACCTTATCGTAAACAAAAACTTTTGAAGCCGATAACATTAAAATGGTTAATTTTACAACAAAATCTTGTATGGAATTTTGTTGTTGTTTTTTTGGAACATTTTACCTACTTTAATTTTGTATAGAAAATTATTTTTCTGTGGGACTGACAGTTACGGAAATATCCCCCCCCAAAAAAGTCCAAAAAGCAACTTCCCCTCTCACACCCCAAACTTCAGGATTTTTAGCATGTTATGTAGAAGGTAGCAACAAACAATCGAGCCTTATCAAAATCAGTTGTTTCCGGGCTTGATGGCCGTGGTCCAATGGAGACTTGTCCATACGTTTCGCCTGCAGCTGTGGCAGGCATCCTCAGTGGCGTTGCTGGCGGGGGCGAAGTGTCCTTGTTGGACATTGGACCACGGCCTTCAAGCCCGGAAACAACTGATTTTGATATGGAAACCGGCCGTGAAAGCCTACATTGTATGTTAATCGAGCCTTGTTTCTAAACTCCGTGATGTTTTTACTTCGGTCGCCATTTTTTTCGTCTAATTTGACACGGCTAGAGGCGATCGAATGTTTTGGTTAACATTACGTCGCTGACTCGGCGGCTGGATCGGAAGTTGCGATTAAAGGACTTCCGTGAAATATTTAACGACCTGTCTTCGACACCCGGGGTCGTCCGGAGTACTGCGACGTGATCAGGTTGAAAGTAAGCACGCAAGATGAGTTTTGAAACAACGATTTATAAAACTCGGAATGCTTGCGCGTTCACTCGAATCAACTCACCTTCAACTTCTCGAGTATATCAACGAACTTCTCGAACCCACTCCACGTGCGACATACATCCGCGGCGGACTGCACCAGCCCTTGGATGAACTCGCTCATGTTGTGGTTGGGTTTCCGCCACATGTTGTCGTAACCGTCGGCTAGTTCCGGTTGCTGTCGTAGGAGCGCGTGCGAGGCGGCGTGGAATCGAGCGAGGCTTCGTAAGGCGAGGAGGGTGTGCCTCAGGCCCAGGCCTCGTTTCCGGTCCGCCATCTTGAAGCCTGAATGCGCTAGGTCTTCCATGACGAGGAAGTCGACGTTGTTTTCGCAGCCATAGTGGAGGCATCTGGCGGCGAAACGATGCAGTTTATTTGGAACAGCGGCATCCAGGAGGGCCTGCCAATAAACGTGATGTAATTAATGTCAAGGCTAATGTCCGAATGTGACTATTTCATGTATTAGCCAGTTAATATTTACAGTATTCAAAACTGGCAGATTATTATAATAAAATTGTTGGCTGAAGTTAACAGTTTACTTACGGGGAATCTATGCAAAATGAGCGTTTTGTTTTTGAAATGTTGCCAATTTAATAATTAAAGATGTTCGTAATTAGTTTTGTCAACCGTAGGGCACTTGGATTACAGCACAACAATAGAGACAACTTAAAGTTGTTCCGTAAAAGACGAAAGCCATGTTTATAATGATTCCGGAAACAACAGCTTGTTCCCGTGATAGCCTGTTCTCGATGTGCAGGATGTACATTTTTAGAGCCGCAGTCTCCAAATTACATTGTTAATACGTTGGAAATTATGTGCTGGACCGACTCAGACGTTTTATGTTAATCGCGCAGCCTGAATGCCGGAGCCTGGTCATTACCTTCGGCACGCGTAGCGCAGAGCGTTACTACGCCTTATAAGTAATTTATGGAATGAAAGTGTCATTTCTAAATACAATGCCATTTCACTCGCGGGAATTCATTTTACATGCTCTCTGTCTCTCTCTCTCTCTCTCTGCCTCTCTCTCTGTCTCTCTCTGTCTCTCTCTGTCTCTCTCTCTGTCTCTCTCTGTCTCTCTCTGTCTCTCTCTGTCTCTATCTGCCTCTCTGTCTCTATCTGCCTCTCTGTCTCTATCTGCCTCTCTGTCTCTGTCTGTCTCTGTGTGTCTCTGCCTCTTTGAATTTGTCATACAAACTTTGTATAACACGGGGCCTGGGATTGAACCACGGAGCCCCTCATTTCAAATAAAACTTCTTCACTTCTTCCCCAAATTCGTAAATATAATTCATTTATACGTGTATCAGGAATACCTTATAGTGTTAAATTTGGTTTAGAGATGAATACATGTTTTATTTCTCATGCAAAAATCGGGGGCTCAGTTACGTCAGGGCCTGGGGAAAATTGTCTCAGCCCTTTTGGTCACCCCTGCTTTAGGGGCGTCTTTCGGCATTCGCCTAGAACTGATCGAAAAAAACATGGGATCTACCGATCAAGAAACCACAACCGATTCTTCTCCAGGCAGTGGTTGAATATGTTCCAGCTTGATTTAATTTGATTTGATTTATTTAATTAAAAAACCGTAAAAACTGTTGTTGACGTAGGGGGGGAAATATTATCTGCGCACGTTTTCTTGAGTTCAAGAATTCCTTCCCATCATTTTAACTATAAATAGTTAAAAAATTAACAAAGGTTAAAAACAAATTTAATAATAATAATAATAATAATAATAATAATAATAATAATAATAATAATAATAATAATCCTTTTTATATGCGAGGATTAGCAAAATTTGAAAAACTAGACCTTTTCCTTCCTAAGCTTTGTCAAAAATCACAGTCGTACCACAGTCGAACCGATTAACCTTCCAATCAATGATGCTCAGAGGCGTTAACACTGAACTTTCGCAACCGTTTAACTACAAATGAACTATTGATTTGTTTAAGTTTGCTTATCCTCTCTCGAATTCATTTGTAATTCTCTGTTGTTTTTCATGTGTTTTTTTTGTAATTCTGGATATTAACAATACAATCTAGTGAATATTTTTCGGAAACGAAAATAATATCATTATAAACTTAGAATTTCACAATTAGAAAGAAAGAAAGATTAATTAAGAAAGTAGATTTGAAGGGGAAAAATAGATATTGAAGGAAAGGAGTCCCAAGATGATTCATAGACAGACACGACTCTTCTCAATTTAGTGTTATTACATCTGTATGTTACAATTACCCAAATGCGCAACAGTGATACCTTCCAAGACCTCTAAGCACTCTACTTCGTCAGACCGTGATGGTCCGTCCAGTAGTTTGTACTGGATGGTGTTTTATTGATAATGTGTGATATGAGCTCCTGACCCGTTTGCCTGAGGATGGGGAATATATGGCCCGAAACTGTTGCGCATTCGAGTAATTGTAACATAGAGATATAATAAAACTAAATTGAGAAGTGTCGTGTCTCTATAAATAATCTTGGGACTCCTTTCCTTCAACCTCAAATTTACAAGACACAGCCTTATTCGACCCTTTGCAGGAAAAATAGAGAAATGATAAAATAATTGTTGGCGTTCCCAAAAATAATGAAGTAACTGATGCTTGACATAGATGTAACAGAAAAAAGTATTAACATGTAGACTGACTTTGTTGCTGTACCTCCATTTTAGGGATGGCATCCGCCAGCATGCCACCTTCCCTCCAAAAGATTCCAGACATTTTTGCGAACGTAGCCAATTCTTCTCCGAGAGGGGGACCTTTCACCATCAGAGACCGCTGGCGGTCGTTATCTAGTGTGACCTCCACTCGGTAGATGGTGCTGCTGTAGTTTTCCCCAGACGCCACCGCATACCGAACTGTTACGTCTGTGACGGTTGACTTATCGTCTCCGCTGTTCCGCAGTGCTTTCTGAATGAAGGTTTTGTCAATCCATGGAACAGAGGCGATATCGTTGGCGGTTAGTTGGGCCATGGCAGGTAAGTCCTGATTGCGATGTAATTCTGAAACAAGATAATGCCAGAGAAATGTTCAATTTTGAAAGGAAATTTAAAATATTATAAAAGATAAAACTAGTAGGGCTACAACAGGACATAATTTCTGGTGACATTAGTAACGGTTACGTAAAAATATATTATTATAGCATCTAACCTACGAACACTGCAGCAATCGCTTGAAAAGCTTCTAACCAACCGCAGAGCCAGCGTTAAAACAATATACACCTCTTTAAAAAATTCAAAAGTTTACATTATAATGAATTTCGGTCATTGGAACCACTATATTGTACCTTATACATTTAAAAAGTTGAAAGACAAAACTAAGAAAAATTAATTAGTCAGCCTGGCCTTTCGAATGAAACGCTGGTGTGTTAGCCACTAACTCAAGAAGCCCATGTACTGTAGCTGAAGTTTAATGCGTTGTAAAACTCGTACATTCGTAAAATCGTTGTTATACCCGACGTTTCAACTTTAAATGACGCGAAAGCTACTACTTTTATCCACAAATGTTAAGGAAAATGTTTGAAAATCTACCATTGTGGAATACTTTACATTAAAATTTCACGGCCGGAATCAATAGAAGATACTTTCCGGGCTGGTGGGCCGTAGTCCAGTTGGCATTGACGGGCCAAACGTGGTATTGAATGGTCAGACGCCAGCCAGCCGCCGCCCCGCACACTGCGCCCTCGACCCTGCCGCTACTGACGATGTCCACCGCAGACGTGGACGAAACGTTTGGCCCTTCAATGCCCACTGGACCACGGCCTACCAGCTCGGAAAATGTATCTTCTATTTTCTCGGAGTCTTTGAAAAAGTATGCAATTAAAGAGAGAGACAGAGAGAGACAGAGAAAGACAGAGAGAGACAGAGAGAGACAGAGAGAGAGAGAGAGAGAGAGAGACAGAGACAGAGACAGATATGTTTTCTCTAATGCAATATTAAAGACAGTCCCTAAATAAGGTCATGAACAATTTTTTGAAAGTGTGAGTAGTTTCAGAAAATTTGCTCAATATCCAAGGATTTTTTAAACAATAGTTTTCTCAACAACAGCTCGAATTTTTTACTCTATTTTATACTCCAATGTAGATAAAGATGCTAAAACTTGGCGCTAGTCCCATTTTCGGTGAACTCTCTGTATTTTGGAAAACTGAAAAAAATTAACAATGCAAAAGTACAATCTGATTATTAATATTAATGAAATTAATGATAGAGATTTTTCCTTAAAGGAATCTGTTCTTGAGAATTAGATATTTAAATAAGGTCATGAACAATGTTTTTGAAAAACAAAAACAGGTAGTTTTCGAGTAATTTTTGCTTGAAGTAAAGGTATTTTTTTAATAAAATAAAGGGAACCAGGTATCTTTTGTTATAATTCGCGAGGCAGTCACAAGGTTCTAGCCCCGAGCTGGTATTCTGGCATATGTGGTAGTGAAATGCATGTAAGTGAAAGTAAGACCTGAGGATAGGACTAGGAAGAGGAAGGAAAGACCACATGCTCCGTGGCCCGTTCGTTAGGATACTGCTCCGGCTTTCGCCTGGTGTCGATCGTAGAAACCACGAAAAAAATCGATGGCAGCAGCAGCCTGCCTCTAGAAATTTTCCTCCAGACAGCGACTGAACTCGATCTATCTAGTGTCGAAACTCGTGCCAATGTCGGAACTCGAACCTAGAACCTCCCGGAGAGAGGCACTGCAGTGACATCAGTTGATGCTCTGATTCACCTCTCCCGGTTTTTCTTCATTAACGTGGAAAGAAAACTGAATAAAGCACATAGAATCCACTTTAATCATCCTACAGCGGGCAGAACTGGGTCGTGCATTTTGCCAATGCACCGACACAGTATTCTTTCCCAGAGAAGGGCCCGCTCCCGCGGATAAAATACTGCTGTCAACATCCAATAGTGGCCGCTCGGAGAAAGGAAGGGAACTGACCTCGGCAACGGTGGGATGCAACCGCTTTGGACCCGCGAAGATCCAACCCCCTTGGAGAGATAAGAGCGCTATCTTTGAGTGCGATAATGTCCGTTATTCTCAAGGATAAAGCAATGACCTAGTTCCACTTCCTACGCAAACGTGGATTAGGTCGGTTACGATTCATAGATTGGTGATCCGCTTCAATTGCTAAGGTCATTAGTCCCGTATGTGTGGTGCATTTTTTTAACTCGGGAGGTAGCGGTGATCTTCCCCTGCTGTATGATGAAATCCGGCACCAACCGAACTCAGCCATCGGTGTTTTTCCTCAGCCAGGTATCTCCCTCCAGTGGGACACAGCCATGGCCGGGACAAGCTCTCATTGGTCTCCCGGTATGTGTGGAAGTGTAGTGCACAGCCTCGCCGGCTGCTCTGATGGGTATAATTTTTCGTGGTCTCTCCGATCAACACCACGCGAACGCCGGAGCGGCACCTAACAAACGGGCCACGGACCGGGCGCGATCTTTCCTACCTCCTCGTATGTACACACCCTTACACATGTATACACTAAACTACTGTACATGCCGGGAGACCGGTCGAGAGCTTAGAGGTTGTCCCGGATGAGAAGGGTGGGAGATACCTCGTTGTGATACGCGTGGTAAACGGATAACAGTCACAAACCGTCACGGGTTTGAAGTAGTTTTTTGATAGTTGGGTAGCGGTAACAAATGACGCGAGAAAGCATGTACTCTAGTAGCTCAACTTTTTTGTATACTACTTAGCACACGAGGAAGTAAAAATCTCTACAGCTTTGCTCATTCAGTTCGCACACATCCGACACTATAAGAGTATTACTGTCGTCGAATACAAAGCTTGGACTCACCTGATACGATGTGCTTCGCTGAGGGCTGACGTGATAATGAACGAATGTGTTATCTAGACTTGAAAGTGAGCTTTTATTCATGATTCATAATGTCTCTGATAACACACTTGCTCTGACGACATTAATCTTTGCTTGGTTCTATGACATGCTGTGATGAAACATTTTAATAACGGTCCATCCCTCTGACATCACGAATTTTGCAAATCCAGCAATTCGTTGCAAATAATAATAATAATAATAATAATAATAATAATAATAATAATAATAATAATAATAGTAATAGTAATAATAATAATGTAGATGCTGCTCTGCCACGCGATCAGAACATCGTAACCAAGTAGGTAGAGAATCCATAAATTCTCGGCTATCCGGGAGACCCCGTCGTTGGCTGGGAGGCCGTCACACCGAAAATTTTAAAAAGTCCCAGGGGCTTCTTGAAAAGTACCCCCCAAAATTCAAGTATCGGTTTCAAATTCAAGGGTCCGTGACACCGTCGGATCAATTGGTAAATATAAAATTTGGAGAAAATCGGCTGAACGGTTTAGCCATCAGCATTGTTCCCAAGCGGACGGATGGACAGACAGACGGACATCCTATGGCGTCAGTGGATTTTTGCCGTGAGGACTTTTGTTTTAAATTTAGAAACTAGATTTATCCAGTGTTTGATTACCACGGCCCTGTAATAATTCTTTTTTCTGTTTAAAATTCGCCGTTTTTTCGTGCAGCATTACATTTCTTTCTCTCTACTCCGTAGCGAGAAAGTAAAAAAAGACCCACATGCCAAATACGTAGATTGTTAATTTTCACATTACTCAGGCAACGAACGGATAGTTTCGAATTTCATTTAGTTAATGTTGGTATTAGCCACAGGGCAATAGCTTTAGTTACGTGTTTGTATTTGGGAGATTTTGCTCCGTCATTAGAAGAATATTGACATAAAAATGCGTTTAAAATGACCGATTTCACGGATTCAAAGCTCTTTCTATCTAAAAATTTAGTTAGTTCCTTTCCATTTTTGTCACTTGGAAGCTGGTGTGTATGTGTTCTATCTGTGAGTCTCTGTTAAATCAGTTCACTTCAAGAAATGTTCGTACGTACGATAGACTTACCAATATACCATACTTACCTATTACTGGATTGTAATTGAATAATATAGTTCATTATATTACAAATCACAACACTGAAGTAAATCAAATATTAAAAAGAAATTTTATTTTCCACCCTGACATTAAATATGTAATTTGGTAAATAAAAAATTACATCGTATATAAATATTTGAGAATATAAATAGTTTTGCGTTAGAATAAAATATTTGTGACTCAATTTATAAATGAATTTAATATTGTTTAAGGCTCTGCTGTAGAGAATAATATCATTTATGAGATGCTATGAAATTAAATTCATACGTATAATTAAATGGTGAATAACAAAATTAGTGGTGATACAGAATGGCAGAGACTTTCCCGTATTAGTTTTCTATTTCCTTCGGTCTCGGCTAGCTACTTTGGCTTGCCACATACTCTTGCCAGCTGACATTTTCGCCGCCCAAAATACACTTTTTAAAAATATTCTTAATTTTCGGTTTCTCGATGGTAGAACGGAAATATATTTCGAATATTAAAGAACAATAAAACCTCGTCGTAAATGGCAATTTTCTTTGAAACATTTTTGAGTACTTTTTAAGAAACTTGCCTTTAAGCGCTACTGCATATTCGAAATTTGAAGCTAATTTTTACAGAAAATTTTCGAAAAACGTTATTTGAAGCACATTAACTCACAAATACAAGAGTGTTTACAAATTGTTTGGGATGTGAATTAAAGACATGAGAGATCATTCAAATAAATTACATTTTTGTAATTTTTGAAAACACAAAAAACATCCAGAAATGAACATTACGTCATATTGAAGAGTGGAATTAGCACTATCAGTTCGAAAAGTTGGAAGAAAAAATTTGGTGCCATTTTTGAGAAAAAATGTCGTTTAAGTATTTCTGAAAATGCGGAATTTTGAGCTAGTTTTCACAGAAAACGGTTGAGAAACTTTATTTGACCTTATTTAAAGCATATGTACTTATGAATGTAATAATGTGAAAAAATCACCTCTAGTGAGAGCGTAGGCTTCCGCGGCCGGAATCAGTATTTACTAGGCTGTGCGGGTCTAGGCACCAGGACAGCCTAGTAAATAAATTACCTCTAATATAAATATTAACAACATGAGAGGCAAGTAAAAAAAAATTTGTATTTTTTGAAAAAACGACAGAATAAAGTAAATGGCATTTATGTCATCTCATAGATTACATTTAGCACAATCTCTACCAAGAGGTTAAAGAAAAAAATTGGAGCCGTTTTTTGAGAAAATATTATTTTTGCAATTTTTAAAATTGCACATATTGCATGTAATATTGCGCGCAAACTACTGATTTTTTTTTAATTTTCGTGATTTTATTGAATGAACCCACTATGGAGAACGAATTTTATTTGAAGGATATATCTCTATCTTTAATTTTGTAGTTGTAGGAAGACACCGAAAAAATTCAAGAATCACAAATTCTCTCAAGAATCACAAATAAAGTAACAATTTCTCAATATTTCTAATTAATAACAATAATTTATTGTATTAACATTACAAGATCGTATATTGCAATACATTGCATACAATAATGCATTTTCATCAGTCATGTTTTTGTTTCTTTTGTGATGCATTAAAAAATATGAGAATTCTATACTGACTTTTTTTTCGGGAGTTGTTAAATGAATAGTACACAATTGAGGTAGACTTGGATCGGAAAATGACCACAAATAGCTGTGAAATTCAGCTACAACATGGAAATTTATATTGTAGTTATTTCGAAGGAGCAATAATACATTCAGGTCGTTGTATTCACCTAATGGAAATGTTTGTACTAACAAAATGCATTGAAATCATACCCTTTCTCGGTTAGAATGAATGTAGCAGCCAACCCCTACGAGGACAATCCGACAGTTCAAACTTTTGTTTAAACCATCTCCGCCGTATTGCAGGCTGGAATGGTATTTCGAAAAACTTGCATTATCATTACAAAATACTTCGAAATCATCCGACGTCCCTCTAGGATAATTCAGGCAACCAACCCCTACGAGCATAGTCTGGTATCACCCGCTGCAGCCACTTCTCTACGTCAGGGTGCTGGTAAAGAGGCATCAGCTGCGAGTGGTCGCCTGTCATCATGGTCTCCGTGTTGTTTCCTCGTTCCGCCACCAGGATGGGCTTCGCCAGCGCCACGAACAGCGAGAAGGGCCCGTGGAAGTCCAGGGCGGACCGCAGCGCCTCCAGCGGCGGCGCCTGGAAGCACACACGAATTTAAACTACCCACATGAGACCACTTTAAAGTACTAATTTGACAATTTTTCCGACTTCAGAAAACTTTTAACTGCCCTCTAAACGTTTCAACAACCTGCTTTAGGCAACATGAAACAACTCACTTGAGACAAATTTTACAAACCACCATGTGACAAATTTAAACTGCTCATTTTATCAAACTTTTAACTACTCACTTGAAACTTTTAAATATTCACCTGACACAACTGTTAACAACCCAGTTGAGGCAACTTTAAACTATCCAGGCGAGACAACATTTAACTATCCACTTGATACAAGATTCAACTATCCACTTGAGATAAATTCTAACTCACCACTTTAGATAACTTTTAACTATATTCTTCGACTTCAAACTATCCACTTTATTTGACATCAAAATACCTTTCTCGTTGCTCTTTAAACTACCCACTTGCGCCAACTTACGACTACAAATTACCCTCTTTAAATTGCACTCCTTTGTCAGTCGGCTGGTTTCCAGCAGATTGCAAGTAGTTTGCCAGAAAAAAATGATAGTTCGCAGAAAAATCTGGGTAAGTCTACGTAACAATGTATTAAATTATATATATATATAATATAAGATATATATATATATAATATATATATATATATAATATAGTATATATATGATATCTTGAGAGAGAGAGAAAACACTTAACGAATCAAACTCCCATTTAAATAATACATTTGAATAAAAATCCTGATTTAAAAATTTAATTTCTTTCAAAAACCGTGATTTTTAAGTGAAGTTTTTGAAAGAATATGGTTATAGTGGTTGGAAGAAAAATTAATATTTTTTAAATGAGAAAAGGATATTATTGATTGTTTACCTCCTGCCCTAGTAGCTCCATGGTGTTTCGGAGTTCCAAGTGGTACACTCGCAGCAGCATATCCTGATGTCGTGCGTGGACTTCGTCACGCACGCTGCTGGCGAAGAAGTACGTAAGGTCGACGGCCGGCGACGCCACCCGCGTCATCTGAGGATCAAGCGATTCCAATCACCGCCATGATTGATTGATTGATTAGTGATTCAACTTCTCAAACAAATTCAAGCGACGTCAACTGATAAGGTCATTAGCTCCTTAAGTGTAGTGCATGTATTTTTATCGCTGGATGTCGCGGTGATCTCCTCCCACTGACTGGCGAGATTCGGCGCCAACGGCGGCTTGTGGGTTTTCCCTAACCAGATATCTCGCAGTATCGGGGCACCGTCCCAGCCGGGACAAGTTCTAAGATTCCCCCCCCCCCACTCCCGACAAGCCTGGTAGTGTAATGCAAGTGATAGATAGATAAATAGATAGGTATGTTTTAGAGAGAAGAAATGTACATTTTTATGCAACATGTAAATTAGTATAACAATCACGTCTCGGCCGTGAAACTGTTAGAAACATAATCTCCTGCAAGTGGTCTGTGTGACAATTCATTAAAACAATCTCTACATTACTGAAAGGAGTTTACTTGCCATACCGATTGATGGCAGAACCTATCACGGGATTCTTTGTTTGGTGAAAAATAAATACTCCATACGTCATAATAATTCCATGAATTGTACGTACCCCGTGTATTGAAAATGTAGGCTAAACTTTGTGTAAACGTCTTTGAGTAACGTATATGGTTTACGAATGAATAGTATTGCAATACGTAAAATTTGAAAAAACATATTTCTCCTCCCCATTGGCGGCAAAATGTTCGAACGCATTTTCCTCAAAAGATCAAAAACGACTTTAAAGAATGAGGTATTATCAAAGAAGAACAAATGTAGATTCCAAAAGCATCGCTCCTCACTTTTGCAACCTTCTGATATTCTGTTTTGCCCTCTGAGCTTCCTCCACTGCTTCCTCCATTCCATCCTCACTATCTTCTTCGATTTTGCCTTCGCTTTTCATTACATTACTAATCATGGCGGTGTGTTTGTGCATATGTCCCTTACATGTCGTGAGGTGTCCCACTTTCAAGAATATTTAGCCCTATTCTTTTAATGTTTTTTTCTTTTAGTTACAAACACTGATGATGGATTTTTTTAAATGTTGGCAAACAAACAAGTAGTGATTTTTTTCTCTCCAAAGACAGAGCCCCTTCAACATGACTTCACCGAACCCTACTACCTTTTTTGTTGGCAATTGCATGAATTTTCTTCCAAAAACATTTTGCTGCATAATTACATGACATTATACTACTATTGCAGTATGCGCAAGTAAAAATAATATAGTCAAGATATTCAAAATATACTCACCTGGTAGTCAAGAGCTCGAATATCTGTGGGAACTCCATCTTCATATCTGAACAGGAAGTTGATGATCCAGTAGTCACCGTGAGTGATGACATTAAATGCTCCAGGTTGAGGTTCATTTAATTTAACATATGTATCCATTGCAACTTTCTGTAGCAATAAAGCACAAAACCCCTCATTTTAGTTACCCTGAATTTTCATTCATTCATTCATTCATTCATTCATTCATTCAACACCAAAAGCACAATATCCATTATAATTATCCTCTCTATTTAATGCGCTAAGGCTAGATGAAGATTTTTGACAATTTATAAGAAACAATCAACACAAAAACCCGTTAGTGTGTCACTACTGGATAGGGAATTTCTACCCAGTTCTGCATCTAATATATTTACATCAACAAAATTTTAAGTTACATATAATAAAATACACTAGCGTTGATACACCAGCACATATATTTTCGCATTATTTGTAACTTTTGCAACTTTCAAAAATTCAGAGGTTTCAACATTAATGAGACCTGGACTAATTTTTTGAATCGTCCATTTCTCTATTTGAGCAATATTTTAAAGAAAAAATTGGATTAGTTTTCCGAAACAAACAATTATAAATTGCTTTTACTTCAAGAAAAAATTGAGCGAATACTATTATTTTTTTCAAAAAAATGTACATGATCTTTTTTAAAGATATATTTTCTTAGAACAGATTCTATTAAAGACTAAATCTCTATGAACAATATGGTAATTTTGTGTGGTTAATTCTTGAAATTTTTGAAAAGTCCCTGAAAATGGGACAGCTCAATTTTTACGACTACTATCCTAGGAAAAATTTATAGAAAAAATGTGGAGCCGTTTTTGAAAACAAAATTGTTTAAAATTATTTAATTGTTCGCCCTTATTTCACGAAAGATAATTAAAAAACGACACATTTTCGAAAATTTTATCATGACCTTACTTCAAGATATGCTTTTGAAGAACAGATTCCAATAATAGACAATCGTTCCATCTTCAGTAATATAAAGATTGATGAACATTTTCAAATAGAAAAAATTCACAGAATTCAACAAAAATTAGACATGTGTTATGTTCTAAGCGTTGTTCATTCTATCCAGACAAAATTAAACAAAAATTGTAGCTTTTTTGAGAAAATGTTGAGAATGTCATTGAGGCTTCAAGAGCACATATTTTACCAAGATTGTTCAAATAAACAATTTTAGAAACTTATTTAGTGTTTGCTTTATACGAAAATAAATTATGTATATTTCATTTGTGTATCATGTAATTCCACAATTTTCGCTGAATACAGCAAATTCATTCTAAAAAATAAGATTCAAATTAATATTTTTAATGTATTTTTTCTTTAACGGACGCCATGGCTTCCCTCCTGATGTATCGTGGTCTGTACCTTGAACTTCTCCAGCCGCTCGGCATACTCCTCGAAGCCAGGCCAGCTGCGACACACCTCAACCGCGCCACGGGTTAATGCGTCCACATAGCCGGTCAAACCCAAAGACATGGTCCTCCAGATGTTGTCCAGCTTCTCCGCAAGCCCGGGCTCCCGTTGCAGCACGGTGTAGGAGGCGGCGTGGAAGCGGGCCAGGGTCCGAAGCGCGAGCAGGCTGTGCTTCAACCCCAGGCCTCGCTTCCGGTCCGCCATCTTGAAGCCGGGAGGGGCCAGGTCCTCCAGCACGAGGAACTCCACGGGGGAGGTGCCGTGGTGGTAGCAACGTGGAGCCAAGGGTGGATACCGGCCTGGGGCTGCTGCTTCTAACAGGGCCTGACACAATGAATATATTATATAGCTATTAAATGAATATCAGGAATATAATTTAAGTATCACTGTTTCCGTCTCTCGAGAATACAATTGTTTGGGTTTGCGTGGTCTTCACATTTAGCAGTGGTCAACTTGTGAGTCGGGCAAATGAGTCGAGTTGTGAGTCGGTGGAATAGTAAGGATAGTCCGGGGGGATGCTTCTTCCAAAAGGACCTGACAATCGATTAATAAACGCCATAAAATAATTAAGCACTTGATTCCATCGATAATAGAATCAGTCAACTTTAGCGCCGGTCAACTTTAGCATCGGTCAACTTTAGCGCCGGTCAACTTTAGCGCCGGTCAACTTTAGCGCCGGTCAACTTTAGCGCCGGTCAACTTCAACATCGGTGAATCAATTGGAGTGGATCCGAACGCAGGGTTAACCGTGTTTTTATCTACCCTCTTGTCTCTCTAAAATCTTAACATGTAGTGTCACATACCTCCATCTTTGGGATGACCTCTGCCAACATTAACGTCTCCCTCCGGAAAACCCCTAAGTCCGTGGCGAGGCTGGAAATATTCGCCCCGGGCGCGGGGCCTTTAACAATGAAGGAACGCTGCCCCCCGTCGGAGAGTGTGGCCTTCGCTCGGTAGATGGTGCTGCCATAGTTGTCTCCAGGGGAGGTGGCGTAGCTCACGGAGATGTCTGTCACTTGAGAGTTCTCTTCCCCGCCGTTGCGCAGCGCTTGCTGCAACAAGGCGGCGTCGATCCAGTCAGGGATTGGACGCTTGTCTTCTGGCTGCCCAGTGTTCTTCGAATCAGCCATGTTACTGCAACAGAAAATATACATCATGCGCCAGACGTTTAGATTGATTAATTAATTGATTATCTCTTGTTTGCGAACGCGATAACTTCTAAATTCAATAGTCCTGTAAGTGTGGTACAAGTGTTTATCGTGGGAGGTTCTTCCCCCGATGGGTGGCGAGATCCGGCGCCAACATAAACGTCGGCTTGCGGGTTTTTCCAAACCAAATATTTCCCAGCAACCCAGCAGAGTACCAGCCGAGACAAGCTCCCTTGTAACGACCGTCAAGATTAGCAGAAGATAGATAACCAGTAACCTCTATCTTCTTGAATTCTCAACGGCATTCCATGTAGTCTACTACTACCTCCTTTACAAAAGAAGTTATCGTATACCCCAGTTTCTTAAACCTTTCCTAAAACACTACCTTTGCAACAGAACTTTCAAACCTACACACCTAATCCATACTTCAAACCTCTGCCGAACCTATTCTTGCTGGCTTTCCCAAGGAGCGGCGGTCCTTTATCCCAACTTTTTCTCCTCTTATACCAATGAGTTATCAACCTCCTTAAAAAAACTAGTGACTACATTTATGTCGTTTACACTTCCCTAATAGTAACCAAAAACTTAGCCCACTACCTCCCGAGGAAATACATGCACTACACTAACGACCTTAGCAGTTCACGTGCCCGGAAACACGAAATAATCAATCAATTTCTCCAAGCTTTCACATCCCAATTCATACAGTGCAAACACACAACTGAACAATGTTACAAAACGTCAAACTTTAGAACGCCACAACTTCACATCGTCAACACATTTCCCATCACACATCCGAATATTTCCTCCTCCACTGGAAATCGTGCAACTCGCCCTCACCAAACCTGTAAAGTACCTACTCAACCACCGCAAACGGGCAACATATACCTCTTGACAATCAGACCCACTTCCCACAACAACCAGAACCAGAAACTCTTTCATCTATAATTCCCCTTCTTCTCCCCCCGCCCTTCCCATCCTCTCTTTCCTCACAACAACTTGATGGGATATTATACACACTCGCTTTCTTGAGATCCGGAATTCCTATCTCCACTTCTTAATTAACATTAGTTGAATTCAGAATAAAAGACAGCAACGAACGTTGATGACAAAATCTGATAATAGAAATATTCGCACACGTGTAGTAGAAACTCTGTAGTTACGGTGAAGGGAATACGTCATGTTCACCGCATGTCTTTCTTATCCCCAAGCGCGAGAATTAAACTAAAACCAGGCATGAGGGACACGGTTAACTAGCCGGAGTGTAGAATAGTCGACTAAAATGCCAAATACAGAGTCTTTAGTTTAACTCGCAACCCAGGTCTGAAAACACCACCTCTTATTTTCGCAATTTGGCAACGCATGAAATACCTTTCACTTTTAGCAACTCACGGCCGCGTCCCTTGAGATCTCGGAGTGAGAAAATATGGCTAATTTTAGTTGGAAGAAAGAGAAAGCACGTGTCCTGTCTTTATTAGTATTCAACGTACTGCAACCACTACATAGAAAAGACTCAACGCCTGTCTCTTGGCAAATGGTGGTCACTTTGATCATTTACTCGTCGCTTAGTTTTTCGTATTTTTAAGGAAATTACATTTTATTATCTTTATTAGGTATTGTCAATATTTATTTATTTACTACTGATTAATGTTTTATTGTTAATTTTTGAATAATTTCATTAAGGCTTTTTATTTACTTAATTATCAGATTCAATAATAATAAATAATAAAAATAATATAATAAGTGATAATCAAATTAATAATAATAATAATAATAATAATAATAATAATAATAATAATAATAATACATTATTAGTGTTATACATAATGAAGAGCTTGGCAGTAATGTTTCAAGAGATTTGTTTCTTATTTCTCTCTGACTTTCATTAAATAATAATTATTGTTACGTTGGTGTTAATAAAACGATAAACAATCGTAACTTCCCCCACATCTTCAGTATTACACTTTTGTTTCTTAAGCATACTGGATAGAATCACCTAAAGAGACGTTTTGTTTCTTGCTCCTGATTCTGCTCACCCCATCCACTCTGTGCAGCGCGAACAGCTTCCGGCGCGTGAGCCGCGTACCTGCCCGCCTAAGCTCATGAATGGGAATAACACAGAATCAGGAAAGTTGTTGTAGCTTATGTCCTGACGGTCGCCTCTTCCTCTGCTGTCTCGACGTGCGAGGCACGGCTGTCACGGACACGCAGTTGCCAAATTACCAAAACAAGAACAAGTGCTCTCAGACATGGGTTGCGAGTTAAACTAAAGATGCTGTATGTACATTTTTGATTCATAGAAACACAGTAATTGGTATTCGTCACTCTATGAACCTCTCAATGAACTAAAAGTCTAGCTAAAATCCAGATATTTTCACGCATAAATATACCCATTCAAAAAATGAGCCCTCGAAATTAAAGGTTGTACCCAAGATATGGTGGTTATCTTTGTTTACGCGTGGTGATAAAACTCTGCTGATGGGTGTGCTTTGAGAATAAAATGCTGATAAAAGAAATCCACTTCAGACAAAACATGTGGCACCCAAAAACCTGTAGCAACTCCACGAAACGCCTCAGCTGCAAGGACATTGAAGATAAATTTAATTTCCTTCGATTGAAAGGCTCAGAAATCATTAAATCTAAATAAAAATTTGTTCATTTCAAGTTTATTCCATTAACTGATTTTGCAGAATAAACTATTCACATTGGATACTCAAATGAAATTTTTACAGAAATGTTTTCAATCTTTGAAATTATTTAAAAAAATAATAATGTTGACTTTTAAACAAAAGTTGGAATCGAAGCATGAAATATATATAATATATAATTTATAATATATATATTATATACTATATATATATATATATATAATTATATACTATACTATTTCGTATTCATTCACACAGTTATTTTTACGTAAAATATCATCACTCTCCCCAACAACAACCCACAGGAGTTTTTCAGATCAAAAATCGCCACTTCCCGCCGCTTAATATAATACTTTCTCTTACTGTGTAAGTATGTAGATGTACGCAGTAGCCAAGAAAGTAAGTAATTGTGCAACAACAGCACATCTCTCCCCGTATTAGGGGTAATGGTTACGTTATATTAAAATAGCTTAGCGGGTCCCCTCCGGAGGGTATTTTCATGCTAAAACTTTGTTGTAATAAAAACGTAAGATTATAATAAAAAGAAAATTTAAACATAATATAGTTGCCTTGATTGTTGTGATCTATTTGTAACGGACGCGGTTTATTCACTCTGATATGTCAGATATTGCAACTTCTATTCTACTAACAATTCATCCATTAAAAAAATCAAAACAAAAGAACAGCAGGAGATTCGAAAAACAATAGGTATCTAAAATTTATTGATAATTCACAAGTGTAAATGAAATGTTCACTTCTATTATTCAATTTACAGTATTCAGCTTTATACCTACAATCTAAACATGTAATGTTCAAGGGTTTGAACTGTATTAGTAATAGGTTCAATAACATAGATATAGGAGAGGGTACAAAGGTACCCACAAAAATGAAAATATGAATGTCAAATTCCCAGAATATTGAGGCTCGCCAGACATCGAAAATAACGACTAGAGTTGTGAACAGACACACACAAGTTCGGAAAAGAGAATTACTTTTCGGCGTGAGAGACCCCTATAATGTTTACGTCCGTCAAATTCTTTACAGCGGTTTTTTTGCATCATTACACAACTTTTATATCCTACGTTTATAAGTAATACAAGAATAAGTCAAAATAAAATGCGAAGATAACTTCCTACCAGTAAAGCGATGTTGTCTGAAGTCCAAAAGTCAATTGTTACCCTGCTAGGAGTTGACGTCGGTGCTTGTTCCGTCTTCAGTATTTGCCTGCAGTACTTGCCGTGATTATCACTGGGGCGCAGAACGAGGCTGTCAATATTTTTTTTTCATTTCTTTCATAATTCACAATTTACATCTACGTGTGCATCATATATCACTACAGTGCCTCTGACCTGGAGGTCCTAGGTTCGAGTCCCGACGGCAGCAGGATTTTCGACACTAGTTTTATGGCTAGGTCAAGTTCAGTCGCTGTCTGGAAGAGAATTCTAGCGACCTGCTGCTCTGATAGGAAGTTTTCAGTGGTTTCTCCCATCAACACCAGGCGAATGCCGGAGCACTACCCTAACAAATGGGCCACGATCTGCACGCGATATTTCCTTCCTCTTCCTTGTATTCTCGCCCTTACCACACTGCACACTTACACTAACTTGCACTACACTACCCACACATGCCGGGGAGCTTAGAGCTTGCGCCGGCTGGGGCGGTGCCCTGCCTGCTGGAGAGAGAGAGGGGAAAACCGCCTTAGCCGACGATAGAACGGCACTGGATCTCACCATCCAGAAGGGGAAGATCACAACCTCTCGAGGAAAATATGCACTTCACTAACAGGTCTAATGATCGTAGCAGTTGAAGCGCCCGGTATCACTAATCAATCAATCAATCAATCAATCAATCTACGAGTATAAATAACACCCATTGCTACAGACATGTCTGGAAGTATTTTACCTTTTTGAATATTACGACTCGTAGTTAATGAGCGCCCGCCATATACGATTTGGAAGGTTGAACATTATGTGATCTAAAGTATCCGGACACGTCGAAAATGGGGTTATGGTGTGGTCGCGTTTTTCATGGAGTGGGCTTGCACTCGTTATTGTTTTGCGTGGCACTATCACAACACTGTCCTACGTTGTTTTAAACATATTTTTTCATCCCACTGTTGAAGAGAAATTTGGGATGTCGTTTGCATCTTTTAACACCATCGAGCACCTGTTCATACTGCACGGCGTGTGGCGGAGTGGCTACACGACAATAACATCCCTGTAATGATGTGGCCTGCACAGAGTCCTGACTTGAATCCTATCGAAAATCTTTGGGATGTTTTGGAACGCCAACTTCGTGCCAGGTCTCACTGGCCAACATCGAAATCTTTCCTCCGTGCAGCACTCCGTGAAGAATGGGCTGCCATTCCCCGAGAAACCTTCCTGCACCTTATTGAGAGTATGCCTGCGAGGGTGCAAGCTGTCATCAAGGCTAAGGGTGGGCCAATACCCTATTGAATTTCAGCATCACCGATGGAGGGCACCACGAATTGGTAAGCAATTTTCAGCCACGTGTCCGGATACTTTTGATCACATAGTGTATTTCCCCCTCGAATATTAAGACTCGTAATTAATGAGCGCCCGCCATCTACTATTTTGAAAGATGTATCTGCAACACAATATCATGAAGTTTCCTGGTGTTATGTGCAGCGAAGTTGACCAAAATCGGAAAAAGGGATGGATTGTAATGGCACATTTATTTTTTTTTATTTCACGGGTATTGCTGTTTGAATCAACGGAAATGAATCATTAAGAAGTCAAACGCTCTTCTTCCGAGTCTTATATTAATTCCCAATTTCTCTTTAAGGCAAATAAATGTACCATTAAAATGAAATAATACATCAGTCCGACTTTAAATTCACAATTGAGAGTAAAATTTATACAATGGAATCAAAAGAATCTTAATTTTGTAATTCTGTTTACTTAACAGTGATATAAAAGCATGAAATTTCTACCTTTCTACTCTCAGATCAGAAGGTTTTACGGACCAAAATGTTGTCTGTTAAAAGCACTGTCCGTCCGTAAGCGGGAATAACTTATAGAGACTTGTTAATTTATTTCACCTTATTGCTAACTACAATAAATAACTGAACTATTCAATAACACAAAACAAAAGGAAAACAAGGAAAGAATTCGCCATTCAAACATTATCTGGTCACTTAGCAAAGATGTTTATATACGGGAGAATTTAGTAAGAAAATAAATATTAAATAGTAATACTTAGTCAAGAATATGAACATAATACAATTCTTGGTCATTGGTTTGTCAAAAATATGGCAAACACATTTTCGTATGAAGCCACTATTCGCCGCCTCGCGCCGCTTCAGCTTGTGCGGGTACACCCCTTTCTGAATTTGGAGGGGAAATGAGTGCGGAGTCAGGGGAAGTTGCCCTTGGTTGTGGGAGCGCCGGGTTCTCCAGGAAGGCAAGCAGCTCGTTCCGGTGCGGTTTCCTGCCTGCAGGAACCGGAACAGAAATTACCACCGTTCGTGATTTTCCCTTTCGTTCAACGATCTCGTGAACTCTGAGATAAGATAAGGAATCGTTTCGATAAGGGATTTATTTTTTTAATTTATTTCTACCTGCTCGGCATTTCTGCCTTTCAGGGTGTTCATTAAACAATATTCTACACATTAACTTTTAGGGATGGACGTCCGCATGCGTTACCTCTTCTCTCAGGGGTCTGATAAAACGTTGTTCTTTGAGAAGAAACTGTGGATAACAGTTTTTGGGGTTATATGTGATAATTTTGAGGAGAGGATGTCAGTGGGTGGACTTTTTGGAAAGTGGAAGATGGGTAGGTGATTTAAGGTGGACGAAGGGAGTCTTTAGGGAACCGTGATCTTATTCTTTTTGATGAACCATACGTTTTACCTACCTTGAATATTGTTGTACTGCGCGATTGGGGAAGGGATGAGAAGAATTTATGAGTCATAAGATTTATATATTCGTTAATGGATGATATATTTAGTTCATTTTGGATTTGTATGTTGCTTATAAACCAAGGAGCTTTAATGATCTTTCTGAGAAATTTATTTTGTATTATTTCTATTTTATTTAGGTTTGTTTTTGCGGCGTTATTCCAGATCGGGACGATAAGGGATAAGTCCCTAATATTTTGGGGGGTATAACTGATTTAAAGTCTTGTTTCAAAATTACTTCGGGCCCACTCTCCATAGGGTTACTAAGCACTTGCATCGTCTATTTATGCATAACATATTCCTGACAGCGCAAGTTAAATAAAAATAGTTAAAATTTTGTTTCCAGACTTACCGATTTTCTGTACCACGCTGTGTAATGCTATAGTCGACACAGTCTCACAAACCCACACGCACACATACACACACTGTTAGATGGGCGATAGTAATTTATCAGCGGAGACAAGACATACCACTCACTGCATGTCCTCGCAGGTTGAACTGCACAACTGGGGACCTAGAACTCCCGTATAACCTGGAGGAGACCATTACAGTGGCGCGCTCTAGAGCATCACCTTCTTACACGAACTAAAATACGAACTGCTACCAACGTTATTTAAAACTTGTGTGGGTTCTCGGGACTCAAACACACGCGCTTGGTACAAGAGATCGCGTCGCTGTTCGCGTTACGTTTTCTTTCATGCGTGTAATATTATGAATAAATGCATTTTGGAAGATAAACACATAGATAAACACATAAATGCATTTTAGATAGATAAACACACATTTAACTTCTTTTGTAATTTATTTCAGAAATCGCTCATAATCAAAGTGTATTCGTATTTCTTGACC